TTATTTATTTGACAGAGAGAGACACAGCGAGAGAGGGAACACAAGCAGGGGAAGTGGGAGAGGGAGAAGCAGGCTCCCCGCAGAGCAGGGAGCCTGATGTGAGACTCGATCCCAGGACCCTGGGATCATGACCTGAGCCGAAGGCAGTCGCTTAACCGACTGAGCCACCCAGGTGCCCCAATAAAACTATTTCTTAAAAAAACTTTGCACATAATATCTGGGGAGGAAACACATTAACATATCAATAGTGGTTGTGTCTGTCAGAGAAGAAATCACCTTTATTTCTTCTTTTTTTAAATATTTTCTAAAGTCTCCCTGATCAGCCTGCAGGAATTTTATCATTGGGACAATCCTCACCGTATAAACTGTTTTAGAAAGTAAAATAAAATAAATGATCACGGAGCTGAAGCTAAGGGCAGGCCCTGCAGGAAAGGATCCATTGGATGAGCAGCATGGGGTCCCTGCTCCTCACCTTTATGGTTCTGAGGACGGGGCGCCCCACCTCCTGGCTGTAGTACCCCACACCATTTACAGTCATATTGATCGTTAAGGTCCCCGAGACAGGTTTCCCAAAGGTATACCTGGAACAAAAGGACAAAGAGGGTTAATTTCACATGGAGCAGCAGGGGAGGGGAGGGGTCAGTCTCAGGAAGGCCAAGCTCCCATGGTATGGCCAGCTGATACAAGGATGCTTCCCCATCCTGCATTCTGTGCTTATAGCCCTTCCCACAGCCCAGAGTCAGCGCAGATAGGCCAGCATAGGGGCCTGCAATCCTCTGCACCAAGACTTGTATTTGACAGAAAAAGAGACCAAGGGTCAGAGAGGAACTCTGGACCCAAGAGCCGGAGGGTATGTGAGACAACCACTGGGCCTGCCACTTATTGAAGCAGGACAGTACAGAGGATCAAACAACCGTGGGCACCAGGGAAGCCTGGGCCTAAGTGCCCTGTGAATTCAACTTTGAACCAGGGATCAGACTGCTCAGTTTCCTCACCCCAATAAAACTATCCTCTCGGAGATGCTGGTAAAACTTAAATGTATGTTTGTCATGACTTTGCAGAGGGGACACTTGCCTACAGGGCCCACGAGCAAGACGGCAGATCACAGTGAATAAAAAAATAACACCAGGCATTTTGATAGTATTTTCTAGACTATAAAAAAGGTGTGTGTACCCAACACAGCCTTGGATTTTATTTTATTTTTTAAAATTTTATTTAAGTATAGTTGACAACATCCTTGGATTTTAAAACACATGTAGCAGGACACGTGGCTAGTTTGGTCAGTAGAGTGAGGCACTCTTGATCTCAGGGTCATGAGTTCGAGCCCCACGTTAACAGTAGAGATTACTTAAAAAACAAAACAAAACAAAAAAAAACCCCCGCACAGCTGGAGGAGCAGAGGGCAGTAGAACCGTCTCAACCACAAGCTCTAGGAGGTGGCAGAGCTGGGCGGGAACACGTCTTGGAGGACTCTCCCTGGACGGCCCCAGAAAGGGACAGTGTCCCAGACACCCTCTGGTCAACCCTCACTTTGGAGCTGGTCATTAACCTGGTTATGAGACAGGTAATCCCTTCAAGAAATCCCTTGCGGGTCAGCCCATTCTCTGTGGGTGCTGTTTGCAGGGAAGGGGCGGGGACACTGGAAGGGAAGGGAGATGGGTGCCCTCCCAGGGGGAGGGGAATAAGAGCTGGAAGAGGGGAATAACGGCTGGGAGGGGAATACCCCCCCCAGGGGCGTGTCTGAGAGAGGAGGGGCATGCCCATGGGGGCGTGTCCCGGGGAAGGGATGTGTCAACAGGGGAGGGGCGTGTCTACAGGGGGAGGGGCTCGCCCATGCGGGCCACCTCTTTCTCACCTGGCCCGCACAGTGCCCTTCTCGCATATGTCCAGGTCCCGGATATACTGGGGCGGGTCAATAAGGAGCTCAAATTTCGGCAACACTGGAAGGAGAGAGCAGAGAGGGAGGGGCGGCTCCCACCGCTGGGGTGGCCTCAGAAAGTCCTGGAGCTGTGGGAGGGATAACGGCAAAGCCGCAGCCCCGGGCCACCAAGCGGCCAACACCACAGGAATCCACACCCCCACCCTTCGCTGAGCGTGGGCAGCATTCTGGGGATTTTGCTGACCCACATCTATTTCCTATTTTGGGGGGACGCACACTTTTTCTCCTGAGAGGCCCACATCTCATCACTTTTAGGCCATGTGCTCTGCGTGCAGCCCGGCCCAGAGGTGCATGAGTGGCTCAGCCCTGGGAGCGTCCAGCCATCTGGTCACCCTGGGCAGCTTGGGGAGGAGGGACGGACACCCGGACACCCAGAAGCCGCACAGAGGAAACGCGAAGAAGCTGGTCCTTCGAGCTTGTGAGGCAAGGCCATAAATTCCTTTCCTTTTATTTCCAGAGGTTGCACTGGGCTTCTGCTGCTTGCAACCAACAGCCCTGCCCTCTACAGCCTTTCCTTCTAGGGCCTTCCTCTTGAAAGGAGAAACCCTTGACCAGGTTAAGGGAGAATTTCAGCACAGATGCAGAGTAAGTGGCTCTGGTCCATGTTCGTTCCCCAGCTCCTGTTAACATGAGCAATTTCCTGAATGGATCTCAACGTCTCAGCTCCCCCATCCGTGCACAGGGTCGGGATGATGAGGGAAGAACCAAAAGAAACAGACTTAAAAAGGAAGGGAGGGGGTGCCTGGGTGGCTCAGTCAGTTAAGCGTCTGCCTTCGGCTCAGGTCATGATCTCAGGGTCCTGAGATCAAGTCCCACATCGGGCTCCCTGCTCCTCGGGGAGCTGCTTCTCCCTCTCCCTCTGCTTGCCACTCCCCCTGCTTATGTGTGCTCTCTCAGTCAAATAAATAAATAAATAAAATCTTTTAAAAATAATAAAAATTAAAAATTAAAAGGAAGGGAATTCTGACCCAGGCTACGACATGGATGAACCTAGAGGGCATCATGCGGAGTGAAATACGCCAGACGCAAAAGGACAAATACTGTAAGGTCCCCCTTCCACGAAGCACCTGGACGAGTCAGAGTCCCAGAAACAGGAAGTAGGATGGCGGGCTAGCCAGGGGCTGGGGAAGGGGACGGGGAGTTAGTGTTTCGTGGGGACCGCTTTTCAGTCGGTAAGATGCAAAAGTTCTGGAAATGGAGGGTGGTGATATCTACCAACAACACGAATGTCCTTAATGCTGCACAACTGTACATTTACAAGAGGGAAGATGGCAAATTTTGTTACGTGTGTTTTTATGACAATTCTTTTAAAAGGGAAAGGACAGAGTGCCCAGCTCTCTGCACTGAGCCCCAGCCAATGGGGCTGCCGCTGTGCTCCCCCTTCATCGGCATCCTCACCGGGTCTGTGGTTTCGCCCAGATGTGAAATCCCAAGATCCTAAGATTCTCCGGCTTACCATACTTCTGAACTTCGAAGGACTTGTTGTACACGTGGCCTTGCACTTGGACGAAAATGAACCATTCTCCCAGCACCGGCTGGTCAGACAGGGGGAAGGTCATGTTGGCCACACCTGTGTGCAGAGAGACAACAGTCACCCTGGGGCAAGTGCGTGCGCAGAGCCAGCCGGGCCTGACCCGATGCCGTGGGTGGGGGTCTGCCCTGTGCACCCCAGGACATTGAGCAGCATCGCTGGCCTGCACCCACTCGATGACAGTAGCTCCTCCCCCCGAGTCACAGCAACCCCAACTATTCCCACATAATGCCAAGGCCCCCTGGGGGCAGAATCCCCCCCCCCGCTCCCCCCTCCCGCCCACCAGGTGGTAACTGCTGCCCAAATTGAGCACGGATTCTGAACAGGCTTCAAGACAGAGCACCCCTCTCCCTGCAAATGGGCCCCCATGAAATGCCACCAGCCTCAGGCAGAGAAGGCAGCTTTGGCTTCGGGTCCATTCCTTGGAACCCCGATGGGAGCTGTTTTCATGCTGGGAGGAGAGTCGGGATTTTCCACGAGCCTCCAATGGAGGAATCTGGATGGGCGCAAAGACTCCAAACACCGCTTGGGGATCTGTCACTCCCAAGTGGGACTTGCTCTGCCTGTCCCCAACAGTGACACCATGAGAGCAGCTCTACGGGACTCCGGAGAAAACCCAGAGACTACAACAGTCCCCACCGCTTCTCTCCGTCACTGTGGAAATGGGACACCTGACGGCAAAAGGTCTCTTTCCTCATATATTCAAAGCCTTTGACAGTCAGAGGAGGTTTGGGGGTATATGTCCCCAACATAACATTTTCTATGGGGCCTCATTAGCCCGTGGCCAACGTTACTAGACACCCCCCCAGGACGGGAGCAAAATCACGCCGGTTGAGAACCCCTGGTCTACACATATCACAAGAAGTTTATTTTTTTAATTTTTTTTTTTAAGATTTAATTTATTTATTTGACAGGAGAGAGAGAGAGACAGTGAGAGAGGGAACACAAGCAGGGGGAGCAGAGGGAGAGGGAGAAGCAGGCCTCTCGCTGAGCAGGGAGCCTGATGCAGGGCTCGATCCCGGAACTCCGGGATCATTACCTGAGCCAAAGGCATCGCAAGGAGTTTTTTAAATGGGAGGCTAGTCATTCCCTTCCTCTGTGTTCTGAAGATCAAGTCCATACACCTCCCCGCAGACAGAGAGGCCCCCTGGTCTCACTTTTGCTGCTAGTGTCAGCACTCCTGACACGTGGGGTCCCTCCTGTGCCCAGCCTCACTCTCCTTGCCATCCACCGGGCCTCTTGCATGGTGGGCCTCTGTCTGGAACACATTCCCTCACTTTGCCCGGCTAACCTCTGCTCCTTCTCCACTTTGTTGCTGGAAAGGCTTTTCCTCCAGGCAGCCTTCCAGGATTGTCTCTGCTGCCCCGGGCTGGGCAAGAATCCCATTTTGTCCTCTCTGAGTTTGTACTTCTCCTTCCTAGTGCTCATCATGGCAGATGTTATCATGTGGTTTAATGTCTGTTTCCCCCATTGGGCAGAAAGTTCACCCTTTGTCAGCATCTACTTCAGTGCCCAGCAGATATCTGCCGGTAGGAAGACAGAGAGTTAGCGAGAGGGAGGGAAAGGGGCCGATGGGGAGGGTGGAGTAGAGGAAAGCAGGCTGAGTGCCAGGCAAGAAGGTGGGATGGGTCACCAAGAGAGTCCGAGAGTCCCGCCCTTGGCTGCACTGTAGCCCCTGCAGCCCCAGGCTCAGAACTCAAGGAAGGACAGTCACAGAAGCCCTGTCCCTGCTGGTCAGCCCTCCCCAAGCACCTCGGAACTGGAGAGAGGGCTCAAGGGCAGATGAGGGGACGAGAAGTGTGGCATTGCACAAACCACCACAATCCACCTGCCTCCTAGAGGCTCTGCACTCACAGAGGCACTCGGGGTCCAGGAGCCCCCAAGGGGATGATGAGGTGGAAGATCTGCAGTGAGAGGAAGATGGGGGTGCTGACAAACAAGACCCTGATGTTCCCCCAAAAGGCCTCAAGTTCAATGCAGGAGCCCAAGCTGGATGCCGGGACCAGAGAAACATGGGTGGGGTGCAGTGCTGCAGGGAAGGGATGCATTCAGGGAACATTCTAGCTCCCTGGAAGATTTATTGCATCTGCCACCCAAAGGTGCAGCCCCCAAAACTGTAGAAGGAGAAAGGGAAGGGGAGGGGCAGAGGCTCACCGCAGCAGAACGGCTCCAAGTGTCTCCACTCTGTCATCCTCGAGCCCCTGGGGTCCTGCAGGGGACAAACACCCATAGTCAGCTCAGGGCAGCCGGCGTGTCCCCGGCACATGTGTGCACCCTCTGAGCCCTCTCTCTAGGATGGGACAAGTGTGGAGGGCAGGCCCCCAGATCAGCCATATACAGGGGAGCAAATGAAAGCTCGGGGCACAGAAGGGACTGGTCTGAGGACACAGGGACAAAAGGGGCTGGATCTGCTCCTCCTTTAGGGAACCGTGTGCAAATCTACAGAGACAGACAGACACGCACTTGGCCTGTCCCAGGGCAGATCCGGGGCCCAGGGACAGACCCAGTCCCAGCCTCATGAGGTGCTGGGACAGGTAGGATCTACCTCGGCAGCAGACGGTCGGTCAGGCAAGACAGAGAGCAGGCTAACGGGCCCCGAGTCAGAGCGGACGGGGTTGCACACCACTCACCAGAATGTAGGCTTCCAACTGCAACAGACAGACAGACAGACAGGCAGTGAGCACAGCCCCTGCAGGCCCCCAGCCCTCTGAGCATGCACCACCCGCCCAGCCGTGCTCTGGCCTCCCTCTGTCCCACAGACCTCCCCCTGGCTCCCCAGGGGACTCAGAGCCCCACGACAAAACCCGGAATGGAGGTCGAAACTGGAAGGAACAGGGGAGAAAGCCCAGTTGCTGGCGGCGCCCCTGGCCAGGTGGTCCCGGGCCGGTGTGTTCCAGGCACAGGGTTTTAGAAGCTGATCTCACCTTCTGGCTGACGGGCCTCAGGTTCGGGGTGACAGTGAAGATGCTTATGAGCACTGGAAGGGAAGGAGACAGTCATGTGGCAGCTCCGGGCATGGCTGGCCCTCCCCCCGCCCCCCCGCAGCCTGCACGAGCTGCCCACCTCGGTGTCGGGGCTTATACACCGGCTTGTCAGTCTGGATGAACACGGAGGCGCCCCGGCCGTCCACAGTCACGGAGGTCTGGTTGTGGAAGAGGGGGCCCTCCTCCGCCCGCCCGCCGCGGCCCCACACCTGCAGGAGGGCCTGGCCCCGGAGGCCCGTGGGCACCTGCAGGCAGACCACAGAGCTTTGCGAACGACAGAGTGTTTCTCAACATTGGCACCAATGACACTTAGGACTGGATCAGTCTTTTTTTTTTTTTTTTAAGATTTTGTTTATTTATTTGACAGAGAGAGACACAGTGAGAGAGGGAACACAAGCAGGGGGAATGGGAGAGGGAGAAGCAGGCTTCCCGCGGAGCAGGGAGCCCAGTGCAGGGCTCAATCCCAGGACACTGGGATCATGACCTGAGCCGAAGGCAGAGGCTTAGCGACTGAGCCCCCCAGGTGTCCCTGGACTGGATCAGTCTTTGCAGGGGGAGGCCACCTCGCCATTGCAGGGTGTTGAGCGGCATCCCTAGCCTCCGCCCACCAGATGCCATAGGACCCTTCCCTCCCCCTCCCACCCCACCCTCCAGTTATGACAACCAGAAATGTCTCCAGCCACTGCCAGTGTTCCCTGAGGGGCCAGAACCGCCCCCCCCAAGTTGAGAATTGCTCATCAGGAGCTATTCTAAGAGTTAAAGATCCCAAGAGCTTTTTTAGAGTCTCTAGTCTAGTCTGAAGATCCCCTGGCCCCCTCTCCTAGAATTATACAGCCCTTCACTGGTCTCATCTACAAATCCACAGCACCGATCCTGTGAAGAGTGCCTTCCGAGGGGCAGTGGGCAGGGATCATGCGTAATCTTAACCCCTGTCCAGCGCGGCCCTGCTTTCTGATTCACAAGAAAGCCAACCTGCTCAAAGGGCAGCTCTAGGGGACTTATCAAGGGCTTCCCAACTATTGACATCTGGGGCTGGCTCTTTCTAGGTCATGGAGCTATCCTGAGCACTGTGGGGGTGCTGAGCACACAGGAGGTGCCCTCCCCAGTTGTGACAACCAAAAAGGTCTCCAGACACTACCCAATGTCCTGGGGCCGGGGGCGGGGGAGAGGGCAAACATCCCCACCAGGTGGGAGCTGCTGCCTTAGAGAAAAGCTTCTACCGTCATCAGTAAGGCAGGAAGGCCTCTGTCCCACAGCACTCAGGCACTAGGGACACCCTGCAGGGGAGAGGAATGGCTCTGGACATTGTACTGATCCCTGGGGGAGGGCACGCTGTAATTCAGCATGACTCTTGATGTTGCCCATTCATTCCAGGATTCCTTTGAGTGTCTGATAAAAGTTAAGGAACAGTTAACCCAGAAAACGCCTATAATTTCAGTGTTGCGAACCTCTTGAAATCCAAGGACTCCTGTTTAAAAACCCACATCAGAGGGGCGCCTGGGGGGCTCAGTCATTAAGTGTCTGCCTTCAGCTCAGGTCATGGTCCCAGGGTCCTGGGATCAAGCCCCGCATCGGGCTCCTTGCTCAGCGGGGAGCCTGCTTCTCCCTCTCTCACTCCCCCTGCTTGTGTTCCCTCATTCGCTGTCTCTCTCCCTCTCTCTGTCAAATAAATAAATAAAGTCTTAAAAAAAAAAAAAACCCACATCAGAGAATTACCTGAGTAATTCTACAGGTGGTGCTGTGCAGGGGCATTGCTGTGTCTTCGAAGACAAAGCAGGACCAAGCAAGAGGCTTGGTTCCTAACCTGGTCATTCTTCTTTTGGGGTGTTCAGCCTAAGGCAGGCATTCAGAATGCTAAGACATTTTTGGGGCGCCTGGGTGGCTCAGTCAGTGAAGCATCTGCCTTCAGCTCAGGTCATGATCCCAGAGTCCCAGGATCGAGCCGCACAACAGGCTCCCTGCTTATCGGGGAGCCTGCTTCTCCCTCTCCCTCTGCCCCCCACCCCCACACATGCCCACACATGCACACACATGCATGCACACTCTCTCTCCCTCTCTCAAATAAATAGAATCTTTTAAAAAAAGAATGCTAAGACATGTTTATGTACAAAGATGCTCGCAATGTTTGGATTACGTTATCAAAACCCTGAAAACAATCTTTAAAAAAATCTAACCATGTACAAGGTGGAGAGAGTTAGTAAATTAGTACATAAAAGAGATGCAATAGGATGTGGTTAACAATAGGAGGCAAATTACAATTATAGAGATTTGAACACATGGAAGTATGTTTACACAGTGAATTAATTGAAAATAGCAGGGAGCACGAGGAGGTCTACCATTTAATTGCAACTATAAAAGAAATGTCTTTATGCAGATGAGGATTTATGGGGAAACACGAGAAAGTGAAAAGTACGGGGGGATGGGACTACAGGTGAGTTTTCTCAATTTTTTCTTCATTATTCATTGTTGACATCACCGTTACTGATTTTTCTCACCACACACGAAACTTCTCTTACCCCATTCCAATCAATTATTTCCAAGGTAGGGTTCATGAAGATGCTAAAAATTCATAGCTTACCTTGAGTTTGATTGTCCCTTTATCTAAAAAATAAAAATTAAATGAAAACAGTTAAATTGGGAGCTGGGTTTGCCTGCCTCCCTGAGCTGCAGCTTTGTAACTGGGGGGGATTGTCTGTGGACAAACACACACACTGGGTCATGCTGGTCTGGTCTGGGCTGGGCTGGGATTGAGAAAAGTGAGAGGTTCCCTCCAAGATGGAGAGAGCCTGAAGGCCAGAGGGGATGGACAAAGCTGAGCTATTCAGGGGGAAAGTTGGCCAGCCTACATACTTAATAATTCACTTCACCCCTGGCCCCCATGTCCAAGGTAAGCTGTGAGGGGAGCAAAGAGAAAACTCCCGGGGAGTGGAACAAGAAGAAGGGTAGAGAGAAAGAAGAGGAGACTGAGGTCCCCAGTGGACCTCCCTCCAGTAGATCTGTTTTCCCATCACCTCTCTCTTGACCCAAGCTGAATCATTTACCATTGTGACACCTGTCCGGGCTTTCTAGCCTCTAAGACTTGATTTTGCCATCTACTGTTTTTGCCTCCCAGTCTCCATTCCCCATTTTTTACTAGCAGAACCCCAATTTCCTTGGGGGAGCCACCTGCCCAGCTCCCAGTTCAGGAGGTTTGCGTGGCTCCGTCCCTCTCTCGGGGTTCTGTGAAAATCTACACAGGCCCTCCCCCAGTCACAGTGATTGGTTCAGAGTTGAGCACATGACCCCAAATGGGCCAATCATTTGGGTCACGATTGAGCACATGACCCAAGTTCGGCCAATCAGAGAGAACGCTGGGACATTCTCAGTGGTCTGGAGAACCCGTCACTCTCTCGGCTTCGGGGAGACGCGGGCCCATTCAGAAGTGGGGCTGGGAGAGGACAGCCCGAGATGCCAGTGGACTTCCCTAGTTATGAGAGCCCGTAAACACTCTGTTGCTGAAGCCAACCTGATGTGGGTTTTGGGGTGGCCCACGGAGTCAGGACTGCCTGCACTCCTGCCCACCCAAGCCCTCTCCTGGTTTCCACTCCAGGCCCGCCTCTCCCCGAGGCCAGGCGCTGCGTCGCCGGCCTGAGAGCCCCGACATCACCCTCTGTGTCTCCTGCGGTGTGCTGGACCACAGGCCCTGGGCAGCTCCCCGCTCTCACCACCTGGATCCAGGAGGCCCGCGCGGTTGTTATCTGCAGTTTCCCAAGGACAGCCGGACAGAGCCTGGCTGGGGGCCTGAGTCCAACTCAGTGAGTCTGGCTGGAAGCCTGGAGTCTGCATCTAACACCACGGGGGCGCTAGAATAGCTCAGCCAGCGGTCTGAAGAGGTCGTGAGAGTCCCTCTGGGCCCCGGTCCCACCTGTAGCCGGAAGGATGCCCGACTCCATCCAGATCTGCACCCATAGAACCCGGGCTGCAGAGGAACAATTCACTCTGGTTTCCTAGACGGGGCAGGTGGCTGCCCCTCCTGGGTCTCACTCTCCCCATCTGAAAAGTGGGGGGGAAAGCAGTCTGTTCTCCCTCCCCTGCTGGGAGGTGGGATGGGAGAGAAGCAAAGCAATGCCCACATCGCCTGAGCCCCGAAGGCCACTTTGCCAAGGAAGAGGAAGCCCTGGTCAGCCACCCCAGGGACCTACCCAGGATGGCTCCCTGGCTCCATGCCACCTCCTCGCCCTGGGCCACCAGCTGAGCCTGTACCATGACTTCTCGGGGGGAGTTAAAGATGGTCACACTGATGACTTCCTCTACTCCCGAGCGGAAGACAGAGGGTGCAGCAATCAAGTAGGCCCTGTAGGAGAGGAGAACCTCAGTGAAGGCCAAAGGCTGTCTGACCCACCTCTGGCCTCCCTGCCTCTCTGGCTGGGTCACGGTGCTCCCTGCGTGGTCTTCCACCCACGCCTGCCCACACCGTGATGACACTGTCATTTTATGTATATGGGCCCCCCACCGACCTGTGAGCTCCTTGAGACCAGGGGCTGGCTTATTCATCTCTGAAGCCCCCTGAAGATGTAAGAATCTGGCCTTTCTGGATCTACCCAGCACCACACCCCCTTCCAATGTCTGCATTCTGGCCTGTGGCCTCTGCATTCAGCGCATTCTGCCACAGGACCTTTGCAAGTGCCACACCAATACTGTGACCCACTCTCCTGAGTAACTGGCAGGATCCCACTTCATCCTCCACAGCCACCCTGTGACAAGTGCCAAAAAGCCATTTACAGAGTCCGAAATTAAGCCCTGGAAAGCCAAGCCACGTGCCTGAGCCAGTAAGAGACCAGGATGCAAACCCAGGCAGCCAGACTCCAGAACCCAGTGGAAAGAAACAAGGAGCTTCCTGCAGCATTAATCTTAAGAACAAAGCCCTGAAAATTAACTAAATGACCCAAAACAGGAAAAGCTCTGCGAACAGTCGCGCCAAAACAGGCCTCTCCTAGAAGGTAGAGAACATTATCTTACTTTCCAGATGGGCAAGCTGTCGCGCCAGGAGAAGGAACATGCCACAGATCCCACAGTCAGACCGGGGAGAGCCTTGGGGCGCCCTTAGGGCACCTGACCTGAGGCACACAGGTCCTCCCCACCTGAGCTCCTGCCTCTGGTGTTCTACAACCTTCCACGGATAATCAGAAAGTCTCATTCATCTTTAACCACGAAAACTGCTCACAAAGCACAGCAAGCACCAAGAGCCCAGACAGCAAAGGCAGCACAAACCCAGCCACGAGGAGCATTACCGGCACCAGAAGGAAGCGGGCGAAAGGGAAACCACTAGGCCAGGCAATGAGAGAAGGAGAGATTTTCGCGTCTCCAAAATCCCCTCTGGGACAACCAGACGTCCACACACAAAGAGACAAATTTAGACCCTGCCTGAGTACCATACACTGAGGTGAACTCAAACTGGGTCAGAGGTCTAATACGTGTAAAACTATAAAAGCCCTGGAAGAAAACAGGAGAAAGGCTTTGGGAGCTGGGGTTAGGCAAAGAGTTCATGTGTAAGATACTAAAGATGCTAAAAGCATGATCCATCAAAGAAATCATTGATAAACTGGACTTCATTAAAACTTCATGAAAAATCTGGCATTTCAAAAGACACACTGGGCTCCTGTCGGCTACCATCCGGCCGCAGCACTGACCCTGGCAGCCCACTGGGCTCTGTCCAGCTTGAACAGTGGCCAGAGTTCAGCAGCTCTGGCTTCCTATGTGGACTGTCCTACTTCAGGCCTGCCCGGAGCCTGCAAGGACCTCGGGACATACCAGGTACTTCCTATGTAACTCCAACGCCAATGAGAATGTGCAAAGACCCTAGTTTTGTACGTGCACAGCCCAGATCCAGCAATGACTGGAACCAGGAACGACCTGGGGGTCCAATGTTCCGTCCTACTCCAGCACCAACAACCATCCACAATGACCGGCTTTCTATGCGCAGCGTCTGGCCTCAGCCATGCACAGAGCATGCATTCATCCTGGGCCTGTGACTGCATTATCTGGAGCATGCAGTGACCCTGGGGTTCCTGAATGCACTGTCCAGATCCAGCACTGACCAGAATGTGGACTGATCCTGGGTCTTACGCGCTCTCTCGGATTCTCATGCAAACGGGGTGTGCATGCAGTGACAGTGGGGTAAACATATACCGCCTCAAGCACGGGAACTCTTGCTTTGTATGTGACGTGTAGTGTTTGCTGCCTCCAGCACCCACCAGAAGGTGCAGGGTGCTCCCTGAGTTCCCATGCACAGTGTCTGGCCTCAGCAGTTCACACAGCATGCAGTGATCCTGGGTACGTAACTGTGCTGATCCTGGGTATGTAACCATCATCACCCTAGGTACGTGCTGTGTATTATCTAATCCCAACACCGACCCGGGCGTGCAGTGACTCTGGCTTGCTACGTGTCCTGACCCGCCGCAGCGGGACCTCAGCCTCCTCTAGGAATAATCTTTCCATCTAGCTCCCAGCTGACCCCCAGACCTCCCACAAGGCACATACAGACCATGGAAGAGCATTTGGGGAATAGACAATCCACATGTTCATGTTCCTTGGTTGCCTCTTAAAGCCTGTATCCAGATCTGAGTTAGATTTTTCACCCAAAGGGCCTAGAGAACCCCACAGAACCAAATTAACTCTCCCCGAGATTCAGGAGTTGCGGCTGCTGGGATGCTTGCCAGCCAAGCATTGTTGACCTGATGCACCACCACCACCCTCCCACCCCCCACCCCCGGCCCCCCGGCATCAGGACTGACACTGGTTTAAGTCTTAGAAGGTCTCAGAAGTCCCAGCCTGGGAATGGTGGTGTTTGGTAAAGAGTAGACAGTACTGGTCTTTTTAAAATTTTATTTTATTTATTTTTTTGAGAGAGAGAGAGAGCACAAGCAGGGTGAAGGGCAGAGGGAGAAGCAGACTCCTCGCTGAGCAAGGAACCCGATGTGGGACTCAATCCCGGGACTCTGGGATCATGACCTGAGCCGGAGGTAGACGCTCAACCATCTGAGCCACCCAGGCGCCCTGGACAGTACTGGTCTTATGACAACGTGCAAATCTGTGCTGCTTTCTGGGGTCAGGGATTCCTCATGCAAAAATCACATGGGTTGGGGTGCCTGGGTGGCTCAGTCAGTTAAGCGTCTGCTCAGCAGGGAGCCTGCTTCTCCCTCTCCCTCTGCCCCTCCCCCCGCTGGTGCTCTCTCTCAAATAAAAAAATAAAATCTTTTAAAAAAAAATCACACAGGTCACAGAAGTGGGTATCCAGGGCAATTCCTAAATCGGAATCCCTCTAGTGGGTGGACCACAGCTGTGGCTTAGAGGCCGACTAATCTAGAACCCCAGGTCAGTAAGTTTGCACTTCCCAGCACGTGTCTCCCAGCACAGGGATTCCATTTCCCTTGACAGAAGGTAATATCCCAGGACAACTTTAGTCAGAGGCAAACACTCCTGAGAACCATTTGAAACTCTGCAATCCAGAGACTCTGAACTTGGTCTTTATGAGGCGAGGTCTGTAATTTAGGGCCCAGTCAAGCTTTGTGGCGGGGGTGGACCTGCGCATGGCCAAATGTTTCGAAGCATCCCTGGCCTCCACTCAGTAGATTCCAGCAGCATTGCCTCCCCCAGATGTGGACCAAAAATGCCCCTAGAATTGCCCAATGACCCCAGGAAAACAAAAATCACACCCCCTCCCCAGGGCTGAAAACCTCTATTTTAAGGGATGCCTGCTTTGAAAGATCAGGACAAAAATTTGCTGGATTCCAGTTTCACAAGGCCCAGGGGAGGTAAATCCCATTGCTCAAAGCGCAGTGTGGTGTCTTACTTTTCCAACTGTGATCCTAAAGCAACACCACCCGCCTCGTCCCACGGTTGACCTGTTTTCTGGGAACTCCTAAGCAAGCGCCGCTTGAACAAGCCACCTCATCAAGGCTGAGGCTGGACTACACGGCTGAGCTTGGGCAGCTCCAGGCGGCCCCCCTGAACCCACAGCCTTGCAGGGCTCACCCCAACTTGGCAGTTCTGGAAATATTCCCGGTGAAGCCAACTCATGGGAAATTCTCCTTAGCGGCTAGTTAATTCACCTCCTCACTGTGTCAACTCACCAGAAGCTCTGTAGTCAAACTTCAAGAAAAATGTGGAAGCAAAACAAACACTTCCTCCCCGCCACCACACCCTCCCAAGGAAAACGGAACGGTAGGTCTCTCTTCCTATTTCCCCGCCAAGACACGCATCTCTTACCTCCGGGCCACGGACAACTTGAAATCACCACCCAAGACGACAGCTCCCGTCACACCAAGGGGGTGAGGTGGGGAGGAGGCCCTGACTCCCTGTACCTCCGTGTGGCCACCTCTGAAGGCTGGGGGTGCCCCCTTCCCAGTCCGACCCCTGGGAGTCAGGGGCCAGGAGTCTAGGTCCCGCCCAGTGCGGATGCTGTGTAGCCTCGGACAGGTCGCTGCACCTCTCTGAGCCGGTCCCCGGGGCCCCCTCCCCGAGAAGACAGCCAACCTCCTCCGTCGCCCGGTGCAACTCACGGGGCCTGGGGCGCGGCGCACACGCCGTCCCGCGGCGACAGCAGCAGCAGCAGGCGCCACAGCAGCGGGCAGAGCAGGGCGCCCCACATTTTTCG